GTGACGACATCCAAGTCCTCTGACTGCAGCTTATCTGACACTCCCTTACTGAGTAGCAGGACTTTCTTCAGCACCTTAATAAAAATGATCAACTCACATTATTAAATTTTCATTAAAAATAAAAATGAATGAAATATAAATCACGGTACATTTGTCATCAAAACAGTACCTCCAAAGCCAAAACAAATTCAAAATCACAGACGTTCTGAAACAACCCCTTTGCTTCTGCTGCAATGTGAGCCTTCTTTTCATTTTCTCTGATCTCTTTTAGAGTCGCGATGGCAGCCTCGAGTGTGTGGTAAATTGCGGTGATGCTGTCCGCCCGACATGCCCATCTTGTATCAGACAATTTCTTCAGAACGTACTCACGCTTCTTTTTTCCTTCATCATCTGACGCATTCAACTTTCTCTGGTGTTTCAAGTACACAGCATGTCGTTTTGTGCAAGTTTCGATGAACACGTATAGATTTTGCAACGTTCCAAAGAAATCTCTTGCTAACTATTGTTACTCATTGTGTCCACGATGACCAGATTTAAAACATGAGCATAGCAATGTGTGTAAATTGCTGACGGGGAAATCTCTTTGATGCGTGCTTGCAGTCCGGTATGGATTCCAGACACGTTACTTGCACCATCATAACATTGTCCACGCATGTTTGAAAATTCTATCCCACACTGTTGTAATTTCTCTCGGATGGTATGGAAAAGCGCTTCAGCTGTGGTTTCTTCCATAGGTTCTACAGCTAAAAGACGTTCTTCTATCACTCCATTCCAGACATAGCGAACAAGTACAGTTAACTGTTCCGTTTTACTAAGATCTGGTGTCTCATCTGCAATGATTGCATACATCTCGGCTCCTTTGACACGACGTATGATTTCGTCTAATATAGCTGAACCAACCACCTTGATCAACTGATTTTGGATCTCAGGGCTAGTGTATTTAGCGTTTTCTGAAATCAATAAAAAGAAATAATTACAGAATTATCATAATTACGACTTCAGTTTATCTTTATTATTCCTTATTCCATTCTATTATCATGCAGTTTCATATATCCCTATATTCCACCGAATATTCGTAGTAACCTTAACGTTACTGAACCAGTGAATGATATAGTTACCTGCAGAATTTCGTAAATGATCTTCAATAAGAGAATCAGACTTTGCTATATGTTCAAGAAATTCTTTAAACACCCCTTTGTTTAAAGAATTCTTATCCTCGCGGTGTCCCCTAAATGGTAAATTCAGTTTTCCAAGAAGTCGAACAACATCAATGATCTTACCAATTACAGTTCGGTTCTTTTTTACCTGAAAATAAAAGGATACAATTTTAAAAAAATCCTAACTGTGTTAACTTTATACGCGTCACTCAATTGTTTCTTAGGAATAAACGTATTACCAGGATTACCACCATATCACCGACATTTTTATGCAAAACTGGCGTTTTCACACGCTTACTTCGTCTGTAATGTTGTGCACAGATGGCCTGTCAAAGTTATATATATTTGGCAAATGGCAATACGTACATTTTGTTGACGATATGACTCTTGTCTCTCATTTTCTTCGTCTATTTGATGATGTATTGGCTTCTGGGATTTCCAGTGACGATGAGCTTGAAGTGAATGCTTGTGGCAATCTGACTTCTCGTGCTTTGCGAAGACTTCGCTCTTTTTCCAGTTACTAAAACCAGTTTTGATGAAGGTAGGTTCACTCCTTGACGACGTCTGCATGCAAAGAAGACAAATGTCATTGTTTTACGTTGTCATAATATAAGAAGCGTTTCTTGTATTTTTATAATACATATCAACTATTTGACGATACAGAGAGGATGAATTATAGTTTGTTTGTGGAACTTTTCATACTTTTGCGATAATTAGTAATTATTTAAAACAACAGTATTGAGTATTACACATCGCATTTTGATATATAATTAAACACTACCAGGGCCATGGTCCATGTATAATTGCAAATTAAACGGTACGCATTAAGTGTAAACAACTTAACAAGGTTAGGACTAACTTAGGAAAATAATTAAAGCGCAAATCACACAATTAACTCACCTGTGCGTTGAACACTCTGCAGACGAAACAAAAAGCTTTATCCAACGAGACAGAATACTCTAACCAAGGAAATTTCTCATACCACGATACTAGAAACTTACGATTCCGGTTATCCAAAGGAAAATTTATATCTCTTGGCTGGCAAGGTCCTTTGCTTATAACGTGGTCCCTGGCTTCTCTTCCACTGGGCAAAGGACAGGAAGGTTCGTACTCATAAGACGAAAGATCTTGAGGAACAGAAGCTTCTGCCATTTTTCATGTATACAATAGTCTGCGCTAGTCACGCAAGAAAATTCCGCGCATATTATAATTTACTATTCAGTTTTCGCGATGACATGATTGGATAATACTAAGGAAGTAGACTCGCCCAGATTTAATCTGTTAAGTACTTTTGAGTATGTTAGCTTAAGTAAATTGTTTTGACAGTTATAGTAATTGCTTTTGCGCAGCTTTGCCAATTCAATGGTTTGCGTGTTTTAACACCTTGTATATAAGCATATAAATACCAGCTCAGCGCTCCCAAGACATAAATGATTATATCAGATTTGCGCACTCGATATTTTTACCCAAACTTGGGTAGCTATAATTTCCATACCTCAACGGCATAATTATATTGTGAGTTTGGATTTCGTTAAACGTACCCCCCTCCCCCCTAACTGCTATACGGATTTAGACTTTTCGCGAGAATGGTCTTAGAAGCGATTGGGGGGGGGCGATCGCCCCCCCTCGCCCCCCCCCTTGGCTACGCCACTGTTTATAAACTTGTGAGTTGTACCGCCATTTTATTTATTTATGTAGGTAGCCTCTCTGGGCGGGCAACAATTTTTCACTTGTTACCTGGCGGGATCATTTGTATTTATCCAAATCCACCTTATCCACGTGACCACAAATCAGCCCATCACGTCTGGCTAAAACTAGAAAGCTGCCATTGTAAATAGACCGGACAGTTCTAGGAAAAGACATCAGGAAAATTGAATAGTTCAAAGTCGTATTACTTTTCAGTGTATTTTATATGTTATAATCGTCTGAATCCTGTATAATCTCACTTTGAAGTTAAATAGTTCAAACTGTCTCAAAATGTACTGATCCCCAATGGCATTATTAATAGTGCCACGGGCGTTGTGAAAACCAGGAATGCCGGAATATCACGGAAAATGGCGGAATATCACGGAATATCACGGAATATGCCGGAATATCACGGAATATGGCGGAATAACACGGAATATCACGACATTTTCCCGGAATATACCGGGACATCACAATATTTTCCGATGGTAGCTATGCAACTGTTTATAAACGTGGACGTCTGAAAACATATTTTATTACAAAAGTGATGGATCTTTCCCATTTTGACGGGAAGTGACAAACAATAACTCTATACTGGAAGTTTTATATGTTGTTTATATCATTATTACGAATGATCACCAAACATTTTGAGCCAATATGATTAATTCCCCCTGAGTTACAGCGTCTTGGAAAACAAAAGTGCTGACGTCAGCATTATTTTCGAACGCCTTCAGAACTGTGTGTTACACAAAATTTGGTTAATTAAAATTGACCATTTTCACCACCAAGCATTTATCCAAAAATCAAATGCTAAAATAAAGGCAACTTTGAGGCAGTTGTTTATATCAGGAAAGAAGTCCCGTCTTATAAACCTTAACCAATAATTTTCAGTTAAATAAATTTTGTGTATAAACGACTTGTTCACACTTGCAATTTTTACTGCGATTTTAGGTGTGATTTTCATAAGAAGAACTGATGCATGTGAACGAGTGGATAAGTTATGCCAATGTTCAGATGAAGGGGTACATGTACTCCGAACATTCGTAACTCATCTACTCATGCATTATCGTAACTCATCTGCTCATGTATTAGAAGGAGGAAATCGTACTAGAAATCGCAAGCAAAAGTTGCAAGTGTAAACGGGCCTTTATAATTAACACAGTTCTGAAGGCGTTCGAAAATAATGCTGACGTCAGCACTTTTGTTTTTCAAGACGCTGTAACTCAGGGGGAATTAATCATTTTGATTCAAGATTTTTGTGAACACTCGTAATAATGATATAAACAACATATAAAACTTCCAGTATAGAGTTATTCTTTGTTACTTACCGTCAAAATGAGAAAGATACATCACTTTTGTAATAAAATATGTTGTCAGACGTTCGTGTTTATAAACAGTCGCATTGGCTACAATCGGAATATATTGTGATGTTCCGGTATATTCCGGGAAAATGTCGTGATATTCCGTGATATTCCGCCATATTCCGTGATATGCCGCCATATTCCGTGATATTCCGCCATATTCCGTGATATTCCGCCATATTCCGTGATATTCCGCCATATTCCGTGATATTCCGGCATTCCGGGTTTTCACAACGCCCATAGTGCCACTGCTACATAGGAAAACCGCATTATAATATATAAATCATTCTATAAACGCCGAAGCAGCAGTTTAAGGCTTTGCCGTCCGGCTTTAATTGGGAAATTGGACCATTATGAAACTAAAAAAAAAACTTTTTAGGTGCCTGACTGGACAAAATAACCCGATTAATCTTAACATAAGAATAATATTATAGTAGGAAAATTAATTCTTACCGGCCTGGGTAGAGACGGTAATAAGAGCAGTGCGGATTGCGCGAGGGATACAAGTAGCTGATGATAATTAATACAAGCAAAACGTCAACGTTTCGAGAGAAGGCCAACGCACCTCGAAAAGTCGACGTTATATTCGGCTTGTGTTTCAAGCAGTTGTGTCGCTCGCAATCCGCAATTATCTGGTAATCAAATACTGATTATAATGGGACGAATAACAAAGACAAAACATGTGAAATTAACATTTTCTTCAGCGGCAAATGACAGTATCGAGAATGTGAATTATTATTTGCACCGCAGTAATAAACTATAGGCCTATGGCTATGTACTGATTATATTGTTCTCACATGTCTGGGCGACCAGAAAGCATATACTCCTCAACATAATCAGTGAATTATAAATTTATAATTATATATATTTAATAATTTATAATTTACGATGATCAGGAAATTCTAATTTCGTAGCCTTTTGAAAAAAGCGTGGTAAAAGGGCAATTTACCTATGAATTTTAATCTCGTTTGCGGAAAGATTACTCGTAAATGATACCCCCTATAAGGTAGTTTTTATATGTAACTGTTTGACAGAAAAATCTAGATCGAGTGCTATGAAATTATCTGCACGCCTCCCAACCTGTTAAATATGAACATTCGTAATCACTGTTTATACTTGCATGGATTAACGTATTTAATCCGCTTATGCATGCAGTCCCACGGTTATGTAAATACTATTTGTCAATTCTTAGGAAAAAATGTCAATTTAATTATTTTGCTCTAATAGCAATGACTCATTACTGTAACTAACATGGCATAGAGTGTCCCAAGCTATCGTCCAGATTAATGATTAACTACCAACCAAAGTTTTTCTTTGTTAAAAATACCAAGCTTATCTAAATCCTTTGATCCGTAAGCTCGGTTCTTCGTCGATATTTATACAAAGTTTAATGTAAGTTGTACTAGTAATAAATATTTGTGAGAATATTTAGATTGATGAAATGCCTAGATTTGTTTTTTTATTCCCAAAATGGTAAGTTTCAAGTACATATACAATACATCGCATGGGCAGTTTCGAATCATGTGTCAAAATCGATCCTCTTAATTAGCATACCTTCCATTTAACATTGCTCAAGGTAGTCACGTTCTCTGAACTCCCACTCAAACCTCAACACAAAAGAAAGGAAACCACAAAAATGTACCTACAATATTCCGCTATTTAGAATTTGCAGACTTTGGAAAATGTTTTAATTGCACAACACTTGGAAATAAATATAAATTTACGTGGTGTTTCCACAAACAAAACTATTACAACTTATAATTCACAGAATCGTTTGCAATTTACAAGTTCCATTTTGGCATTCCTTCTAAAATACAATCTATGGGCTACGTGCAGCCTTCGATTTTATAGATACTCCGTCGATATACAAAATTACAAAATTGAGCCATATGATAAACAAACCTAGATATATAAGACCATTTTCTGGGGATTAGAATACGTTTTCAATGAAGTCAAAAACATCGCGCGCATTTTCATTTTAAAATGTTAAGTGGCATGCCAGACACATCACTTTGCGAGTATATGATCCATAGTGGTACAATTGTTTTGGCGCAGAACAAGAATAGAATTAACAAATCGGTTGTAAGTTAATTAGAATGGCATGCGTCCGGTCGGCGCTATGTTGACATATGAGTCGTGGGTTTAATATTTGCGGCATTTGTTGGGACTTAATTAGTGAAAAAGCAAAACGCCAAACCAAAGAACAAAATTTATGTCATTTCCATTCATTAAGATTAAGTTTTGACATTTCGTAATCTGAATTTTTTGCGGTCAACTACACTTTTACGACTTTCATGGGTAGGAATGAAGCGTATACTATATAGGGCAACCATTTAATATAGCTGTTTCTTATCGTGCTCGTATGTTGCTGGATTAATTAAGCTCAAGGTGTTAAAAGGTTTGCACAAAAAACAATATACATCACGCAAATCTTTGATATACTTGCACATGTTCTGTGCTATTGCATGTATTTCAGTGAGTTTGAATTTAAACAGATATTATGCACATAACTATATCTATTATAGATATATAACGTTATATTATATGTATTACATATATTAAATATAAATAAACTGTACAATTATAGTGTTATTTTACATCTGATATTTGAGTATAAATTAAAGCCTTCGATTATATGTCGCTCCTTGCCGCATGGGTATTCAATTTGATTAGATACAATAATACTGATCGCACATGATTAGTATCATGGAAGCTATATCAGTGAATGGCTTACCCAAATTAATGCTGTTTGAAATATTTTTTACTTTTGCTGGGAACTTGGTAGCTAGACAACGGTCGTTTTCAACTCAGAATTTGCGCAATTTTCTATATCATACTGTACCAAACGCAAATAGTAGCCTAAGTTTGACCAAAATTTAACTTACAACACTTAATTAACAAGCTTTAAGAGATTAAACGACAAAGTTCAATATATTGTTCAAAGGCTCTAATATTATGACAGTGTTGTTCATTATTTATGTATTATAGTCTTCAGAATATTCAATTAACTTGCTACACTACAGCGTTTGCGATTTTCTTGGAGGCTATTCACTTGCATGTAAGGCGATTGTAAGGTCTATGGATGCCAACTCGGGTTGACAAATGTTCACAGATAGGCGCTCCAAATACAACAACAGTTCATTTAGATGGTCTCTGGTTACAATGATAAAATTAAGTCATTGACGCAATCCAAATTCGTTTTCAGTACCATACACTTGTCGGATCCGTAGCCGTCGAGACACGCGTGGTTTTGCATTTGCACAATCTCAGTTCACTGTTTGTAATATTTACAGTTCAGTGGAGCACAACGTTGTAGACAGAAAACCTTTATCATCTACACGAGTTTCGTCGTCTTCTACAGTACAGAAGTTCAATAATCTCGTGCGCGAATTTTGCCGAGACGATGGTAAAGACCTTGAACTGCAACCTCTGCTTCGTTTGTCCTGCGCTACACGTGCTCTCTCCAGAATTGACTGATCAACCGTGCCCATAATTGATAGTTCTAGCTCTAATGGAAGTCCAAGAACGGAAAAACAGTCAGATAAACTTGAACTTGGGATCGTTGAGCCACGGCTGAGCCACGAGTCAGTACTTGAAACAGAAGACTCTGATGCCCGTCGTTTGGGCCTTGAAAACGATAGCAGCCTCATTCCACTGGCCATAGGGTTTTCAATAAACTCCGATTCCATTGTTATAGAATCTTTAGGTCTCGTAACTTCACTGGCAAACATTTTCAAATGTTTTGTATTAAAAAGTTTGGTTTGAGCTGAAGAGATATTGTTCACTCGACAACTGATTGCGTTCTGATTTACAACTTGAAACTCCTGCTATTTAAATTAAAAAATGAAGGAATCTGATAACATGGGATTACCCGAATTGCTTATCTGCCGCAAATAAACAAACATTAATGACGAACGCCGCTGATATATGACATAGAAACTCCATTGTTTAAATTAGAAACATTGTCTATTAGTCCTTAATGACGATCGCAACCATGCAATGTTATGACTGTCATATGGAACATTCTAGGCCCGTATTGGATTTCGGGAAGTTACGTGTTGTTCATAATCAAAATATTATTATTATGTGCTAAATAGATTTAAACAAACTTACAGAAGTGCCACGAATATTTCTTCTTTTATAAACGCTTTGCAAATTAATACCACTAAATTGTCTTGTGTTATAACTGTAGTTTTCTAGGTAGAATTTAAGTATTTTGCTTTATTAGTCGCCTTTCCCTATTTTATAGGCGTTTGTAAAACATTACTTATATAATATTATTGTTTGGGTAAACCCTATGCATGTCATATATCGATATTTACTGATTTATTTATTTATTTAAATATTGAAAAAACGGAACCGCGTGTATACAGTTATACAATATGTAGGCCTATATCGATTATAACCCCAAGAGAGTTCCATTTAGTGATTGCGAAATATAATAATAATGAAAGATGAATATTATTTATTTTGTGTAAAACTGACATTTAGTTCCTTGCAAAATTTTATTTTATAGCATTGCAAGGCTTGCTATTAGCACTTTGTGCATAATGTGGCACAATGTAGCCTATATATACGGCCAGTGTAGACCCCAACAGAAACATCCCGGGTGTAGGCTAGCACAATAATAGGCCTACTAGAATGTTTTGCCGATCACGTTCTTGGAAATATCAATATGGTACATCATACGAAAGATTTCATTGATCTAAACTGAATCATGCACTATTTGAAGGGACTGATGTTTTTCAATCATGAAATATTGTAAAAACTGATTGGTCGAAATAATGACCAAAAAAAATTGGTCACCTGGATGCATCTGAGAGAACCAATTAAAAATGGTCGTTTTAACCAATACAATTAACCATTAATTAATTGGTCATTTCAACCAATAATAATTGGTTAATATAACCAAATATTTTTGGTTGTTTTGACCAATTAATAAAATGGTTAATTTTATTGGTTAAAAAAAAACAGGAAGAAACTCAACATTTCGAGCGAAGGGCCTTCGCTCAAAACATTGAGTTCTGCTGTTTTTTTTCAGGTAGTAATATAACCACTCAGCACTGACAGCAATTTCACATTGGTGCTACCAACACTGGTACTGGTACAGACATTTTTAATACAATTACAAGCCTGCCAGCATGAATTGAACCTGCAGCCCTGTAATTCTACTTTTGCCAAGATGTAACCATAACTTCCTGTATATATACCATGGTGGTGTAATTGGTAGTATATTAAATAAACTGGGATGATACTAGTATTCTATACATGAACTTTTGGTTAGCTTGATGGACTCTCTGGGCTTGAACTCTCAGGGCTTGATGCACACTTCGCTGTTATAGGGAACTGTTCAGAATCACAGGGCAGCAGGACTTCCATTCCCAGCACAGTACATATTACATATATTACAGTAGTTATTGTTCAAAATTTCCATCTACAGAAATTAGTCTTTAACCCATTGAGTGGCAGCACTCTCTCCCTCACGAGTAAAATTGTCTGACATTAGACAGAAAAAATAATAAGATAGAGCACATTGCCACATAAAAGGTTAACATTCTCTTCAATGTAGAATATTTACAAGTATAATATACACGTACTGCACGTAGTGTCACTGCTCAATCAAGCATGTCATACAAGTCCATTAGTTTAAATTTAAAAGTACAAGCTTCATACCACAAGTCAGCAACTCCATTCCTTGTGTGGTTTGTTAATCCATAAACATACTCTCCAGCAAAAGAATAACATTTTCCACATAGACCATAAAGTACTTAGAATGCCATTAATGATTATATATATTGCCACTTGTTTAGACAACATGCCTTCTCCTGGGAAGCTTTTATTAATAACTTTTCATTCAGCATCAGGATATATAATGAATCCATACTAAATACAATCTCTATTAAGAAAAATGTATAAATTAAGGTTGATATATAATTTATGGTAACAGATTATTGATTGATTGACAATGAATTTCCTATTTTTGGTTAGTTATAAATATACAAAGCAAGAAATACAAAATTCAAATGCTTTTACATGTTTAATGTAAGCATGCAATTGAAGTAAGTACATCTAAATCTTGGAATATAACTATTCTGGTAAAGGGTGTTTAAAATACTGGTGCATAATAACTGTTTTTTCCAATATTCCAAATTGAAAAATATCTATATAATCCAGCCAGGTAGATTTAGTGGCAGTTTATATGAGGTGATGGTGGCACCTGTGTACCTGAGCTGGCCCAGTTTTGGTGAGATCCTCACTTTGTTATTATTTTCTATTTCAGCTTGTGTTTTACTTTATGATATAGAACTGAGCTGGTCCTTTTTGGGAAGATGGGGGCTTCAGTGGCGAAGTAGTTAGTGCACTTGCCTTTCACCTCTATATAAGGCCGCAAGTTCAAGCCTCAGTGAGAACTTTTTCAATGCGACTCAAACCCAGTCCTCATGTGAAAACAGTAAAGTCAACACTCTGCTGAAAGTCGTGGGTTTTCTCCGGGTACTTCGGTTTCCTCCTACAGGGGAAGTTGACAGGGTGGGTGAGGTAAAAGGGCCAACAGTAATTGGCATATGCTGTTGTGGTGACACTACTCTAGTTGGCAAAGTTAAATAAATAAAGATACTGCTTCAATTCACCCAAAATGTTGCTAATGGCAAGGTAGGATTTTCCATGTAAACTATATACAATGACCCAGGATTTGGCACAGTATTAAATAATGCTTTGTTTAGGCACAATGTAATCTTCTAAATGACATTTCCCGATCAATTTCAATATTAACCCATTAAGCTGTACATACAGTTTGAGCTTCCCAATTGACGAGTAAAATCGTTTGGCCAGAGGTGTAACTTAACACTTGTCCGGGGCAAGTGAATATCATGATGGGGACGTAAACACTTTATCTTGCTTGCCCGATTGGACAAGTTGCTTTGCCACAAAAAGCTGGGCATCTTTAAGTTTATGTTTTCATTGTCGGATATATTTTGTTTTATAGTGCATGGACTTGATTCAAATTTTGTTTTTCGTGGACCAAAGCTAGATCTGAGGCAATATAACAGCCATACAGAGCTCAGTGGGAGAACGGGTTGACATGTTGTCCTCTTAATTTATACCCCCCTAGCTAGGTACCCCAAGTGGCCATTGTCTGATGGCAAGTGGATTTTATTCAGGGCAACTAATTTTCATGACCAACTTGCCCTGAGGGCAAGTGGTCAAAAAAGTAAAGTTACATCACTGCTGGCAGTAGACAAGTAAATAAAATAAGTGGGTCACACTGGGGCACATTGCGGCTCAATGGGTTAACTAGAGACATTGTCAGAATTTTTGGTTAACCCATTAAGCTGCAGAGCTTCCCCACTGACGAGTAAAATCTTCTGGCATAAAACAAGTAAAAAAATAGGTAGGGCGTACTGGGGCGCATTGCAGCTCAATGGATTACATTTCGAAACTGTTTGCAAAAGTATGATGTCGGTTTACTTTATTCGAAAATGTGCTTCTATGATACAACTCGATCAGTCTGGGTGATTTGTTTTGGCAAGCCTGCCCATCTAAAGAGGCTCATGTAAACAGACATTCATCCAGCGAAAGCGAGCTATAGCCAGTTAGTTACCTAGGCTGGCTTGCCTCTATATAAGCAGCCCCTCACACATGTTTTAGGCTGACTGATAGGGGGGTTACCATCATGATAGCAAGTACATGCCATACATTGGGTAATATTGGGAAATGCTGTCAGCATGCTATTAATTTGAATATATATACTAAAACTGTCTGTATCAGTGTGGGTAGTACCAATGTGAAAATGCTGTGTGGTTATATTACTACCTTAGAAAAAAAAAACAAGCAGAAACTCGACGTTTCGAATGAAGGCCCTTCCGGCCCCTTCGTCAAGAGTTGATAATATATGCATTTCAAACAAATCACACTTATATTAAAGTATACATGCCAACTTAGCAAATACTTAACAGAAAATACAATATACATATATATCACACAAATAAGCTATGCGATTTTCGCAACAAAACAGATAAGTAGAGACTGTATTAAATCGAAAATTTACAACTGAACGTCTAGACTCTAGATGCCTTCGGTGAAGCGACTATAAAAATAGGTACGCTAAGCGTACATGTATCTGCTCATGGTGATTGCACTTTTGCCAAGGGCTTCAATCAACACTCCTGAAGTAGCTTGTAAAAAATTATAAGGGACTAATGTTTAACAGTTGACCAGTTAAATAAAGTTAGATTTATAGGATGTCAGATGAAAGAAAAATAAAATGGCTGATATATATTCAACTTGCAGAAACTAATTCCGGCCATAACTGCACAAAGATGATATTCAATTTTATGATGTTCTTGTTGAATCATCTTAGTTTTATAATTTTCTTGCAGGGATGGATCCAGCATGATCTGATACGGGGGGGGTGCTCTGCCCGCTCTGGTGCCGAGTTGTGTCGGTCATGTGTGCTGCCCGCCCATCAACTTGCTTCGCTATTGCAAAGTCTTGCTTGGCTACAGTATTTGAATTGTACAGTTCGCCTATCATCATATTATTACTCAAATTTCTGTATCTCATTTTGTCTCTAATAATTTTTGCTTATCATGAAAAATAGGACACCCCTCCTGCACCCCCTCTGGCCAAGGCTTGGGGGGGGAGGGTGCACACCCCCCGCATCCCCCCCAGTAAATCCATCCCTGTGTTCTTGTTAAAACATTTCGGGTTCCAAATCTTCTTGATAGTTCATAATAAACTTTAGCAGGCATGCAAGAACGTTGTAGATGCATAGAAGTTGTCAGGATAACAGGTGGTGCCAATATACATTTGCAGAGTTTTGAAAGCCTTTTTATACCATAATTGATACATAACATCAACATTTCTGCTTTTTATAATTGATCTATTTCATTTTAGAAAATGTCATAGTCAGGGTTCATGGCGCACAAATCAACTGTTTATGCCTAGTAGATGTATCAAATAGGTTATATATTGAAAATCATTCATCAGCAACAAATGATGACAAGTATGGAAATTAGAAGTATAATCGATGCATATAGTTCTTGAATAGAATGATATAATTCAGCATACCAGATCCATGCAATAATATTTTGTCGTGGAAGAAAATCCACTAAACAGAATATTATGTTAGTTTTGTACATTTTGTGCTATAAATAAGATCCCATTATGACATATGGTTGCTGTTGGTATAAGACAATATAGTATAGGATAGGTGATGGGGGATATAAATTGAGTCAAACAGCACCGTTCGAAAGGTTGCTTCTGATTGGCTCTCGAGCTAAGTTCGGTGGTCGTGGTGGTCGGC